AGTCTGCCCTGTCTCGTTCTTTTGCCAAGGGGGAAAAAGTCCTGGCTTTACTACCTGTTCCTGGTTCTACTCTTTCTGCCAAGTTTTCAGGACCTTATGTGGTTCAGGAGAAGTTGAGTGAGACAGATTATGTAATCAGCACTCCTGAAAGAAGGAGAAAATCTCGGGTCTGTCACATAAATATGTTAAAGCCGTACTGTTCTCGAGACCCAAACGGTAATCCTGACCGTCAAACAGGTCAACCTTTACCTTCAACTTGCTCCTCAGCATTGATTGTAAGGGAGTGTTCTGACTCTGCTGTAGAGGATGGTTTAACATTGCGTTCCATTTCTTACCAAAGCTCACGATTGTCAAACTCTGAAATGTTGAAGGTCCTACCTAACCAGCTTTCACATTTAAAAGAGGAACAAAAAAATGATATTATTGTCTTGCTCAATAGTTACCCAGAACTGTTCCGTGATGTGCCAACACAAACTTCAGTTCTTAAACATGACATTGATGTTGCTGGGGCCAAGCCAATAAAGCAACATCCGTACAGAACAAACCCAGTTAAAAGAATCTTGATGAACGGTGAAACAGACTACATGTTACAACATGGGTTTGCTAAGCAAAGTTCCAGCCCATGGAGCTCCCCATGTCTTTTGGAGATGAAACCTGATGGCACTCCTCGTTTTATAACAGATTTCCGAAAAGTTAATTCAGTTACTGTTATTGATTCGTATCCACTTCCCCGTATAGAGGATTGTGTTGATACCATTGGTAATGCCAATTTTGTAAGTAAACTGGACCTATTAAAAGGATACTGGCAGGTACCATTAACTGACCGTGCATCAGAGATCTCTGCATTTGTAACACCAGATCAGTTTTTGCAATATACAGTCATGGCATTTGGCATGTGTAATGCCCCAGCCACCTTTCAGCGGTTGGTTAACACTGTTCTGTCTGGATTACCAAACTGTAATGCATATCTTGACGATCTCATTGTGTACACTTCTACCTGGGAAGAACACATAAAAATCTTAAAAGCTGTGTTCACTCGGCTTGCTGACGCTTCGCTTACTGTAAACTTAGCAAAGTGTGATTTTGGTAAAGCAACTGTCACTTACCTTGGTAGGCAAGTCGGCCGGGGACAAGTATGCCCTTTAGAAGCCAAAATAAAAGCCATCGTTCAGTTTCCTGTCCCTAGCACAAGAAAAGCCCTTCGCCGTTTCCTTGGCATGGCCAGTTATTACCGAAATTTCTGTCGAAATTTTTCGACGGTAGCCCACCCTCTCACTACTCTGCTGAGCCCAAAAGTAGACTTTGTCTGGACTCCTGAGTGTCAACATGCTTTTGAAAGTATAAAATCTCTCTTGTCACATGCACCTGTGCTTACCTCTCCAGACATGTCAAAGGCTTTCAAACTTGAAGTGGATGCTAGTGCTGTTGGAGCTGGTGCTGTACTGTTACAGGAAGGTGGGGACGGAGCTGATCATCCCGTCTGTTATTTTTCCCGTAAATTTACACCCAGTCAAGTCAATTACTCCATCATTGAGAAAGAAACTCTGGCTTTGCTACTTGCACTTCAACACTTTGAGGTTTACCTAGGGTCTAGCCCTGTGCCAATCACAGTATACACCGACCACAACCCCCTTGTTTTCCTTTCTCGAATGTACAACCACAATCAGAGACTCATGCGGTGGGCGTTACGGGTACAGGATTACCATCTTAATATTAAACATAAGAAAGGTGCAGACAACTTCTTAGCAGATGCCTTATCTAGAGTGTAGCTTATAGTTTCCTTCAGTTGGAAATGTTCCTCCGAAACCCTTTTAGGTTAGGATTTTAAGGGGGGAGGTGTTACGGCCAGTGGCCTTTTCTGTGTTTGTGTTTATTTTATTTTTTTTCAGAGGCCTGATTAAATTGACTGCACCTGGAAGTGGATGTTTTTCCTGTGACACACCTTGGGGCCTACCGTGATTGGATCACCAATTGCCTGCTCCACCAATCATTGTTGAGGCCTCCATTTAAAACCAAAGGACTTCCTAGGGGAAGGCGCGGCGGATCCTTTGTTCAGACAGCTTGCCATTTTGTGAGGTGTAGGTTTGACTGCTGTAAAACTGGTGTTAGCTTTGATAGCTTAGTCTGCTCTAACAGATTTTGTTCACCTTGATTTCTTGTGTAACTTGCTTTGTCCCGGTGGGGGGAACTTTGAAACGCCGTTAGAGACTTGTATTTTAGTTTTTGTTTAACTTGTTTTGAGAGATCATTTTTGTTTGGTTAAGTTCTTTGATTTACACCTCTGTTTTGTGGATTTTGTTTTAGTGAATACTCTGTTGTTGAGAGTCCCTACGTTTTGATTAATAATTGTTACCCTTTTTTGTTTATTTTGAAAAACTCCAAACAATAAATCCTTAAATTGTTAAAACCTTACCACCAGGTTTCTTTAATGTTACTTCCTTTTTCCCTGGCTGAGCCGGGTCGTAACACCATCTTTATGTATGGATGAAGCAGGAAAACGAAAAAAGGACTCATACATGATTGCCTCTGCACTGGAAGACTGCTTTCGAGTTCAATTGAATGGTATTTTGCATCAAAAAACTAAACTCAGACTGTTCCTGCTTTGGGCAGAACAAGAATATGAATGTACTTTCCATGCCCTGTGCCTTACGAAAGTCAGCACTTCCTGACATCGAAATTGAATTCACATTCCACATTTGTGGGGATAGTGAATTCATATGTCATAGTTTTATGCCAGCTGAAAGTGTGTTTGGGCGGATTGAGCAGATGATACGTAAACAGGATCCTGCATCCCAAAGACTACTATGCAATATTACGTAAGCATGCTAACTTGCACATCTATGGCACTGATTGGAATGCAAGAGACTTTAAATCTGAAACACAAAACTTTTTTAAATCACAAAGGTCATTCAAGCTGAGTGACGACCAGATGCTGTGTATAAGGAATGATCAGATTGCTACCATTCTGTTCTAAAAAGTGGAAAGCAATGGAGGAAGTTCAACCAAAAGCCTCTTGAGATGGTGTCTACTTTAAAGGCAGCAAAAAAGACTGACGTTGAAAACATTTCTGATATTGGAGCTCCAGCCAATGTCACTGAGTTCTATCTTCAAGCTTTATCTTGTGGAAGTTATAACACCGAGGTTGACAGTGATGTTCATTCTAACCGGGAGACTGATAATGAGACTTGAGGAGTTTGTGAAGGTTGTTTGTTCTAATGATGCACTTTGACTTTGTGTCATTTGTTCTGATGATGCACTATGATTTGTGCAATTTGTTTATTCTGTTCAGTTAGGAAGGTGAAATACTAAGGTACAACAGTTTTACAGTCACTACAGTGTTTTATATAAATCGTTTTTAAAAAGTTAATCTCAGGAAGTTATGTTGGTTTACTGACAGTTGAATGTCTGGGATGGGTGGGGTTCATAAAATCAGTTTAAATAATATTCAAGCAGTAGCAATTTGAAAATGCTGTTTTATGATCTGATTTTAATCCCAGATGGATATGTCTCATTTTGTTAAATTATTTGCACTCGGATATGTTGTTTTTTTTGCAAAAAAAATTATGAAATTTACATTTTTCTCAAAAATGTTACATTTTCAATATATTTCTAATGGAGTATTTTTGTGCACTTATGAAATAAAGTCTAAAAATATTATATGGTTTTCTTCCTTTGTTATATATGATGATGGTAAAAAAAAAAATTATAAAAATAAGTTATTTTTCTCAAATATGCTAAAATGGACATATCTCGTTTTGCGGTGAAACTCTTCATATCCTCAGTAAATAATTTTTATATTTAAAAAAATGCAAAACTGACTAATAACTTATGTATTAAACTGGTACATTACATTTTTAGGTTTGTGTAAGCATATTGGACCATGAAAAAAAACACAGATTTAGCTTTACAAATCCTGAGAGGGGCAATATTTATGTAAAAACAGTAAACCTGTTCATGAAATCATTTTTTTTAAGTACTTTTATGTTTTTTGTTGTTGGAATTCAAATAAATATATCAGTCCTATAACTTAGTACACGTTCGATTGTTTTTTTTGATACACATCTTGTGAAGAATAGTACAGCGGCCACCCCTGCTGACCTGTCCAGGTGTACACCGACTCTCTCCCACTGACAGCTGGGGATAGCCACCAGCACTCCTTGCAACCACAGGAGGGAAAAGCGTAATTGAAAATGGATGGATGGAATATTGTGTGTCTAATTTTTCAGTTTGTCAATGCCTCTATTTAATTCACAAATGCTGATGTAAAAATGTAATTGTAGCATCTCAATTGTTTCTAGTAAAACCGAAAATATAGTTACAGTGAAGTTGGGGGTGTACTATTTTCTTTGCCTTTCAGTATTATTTTTAATTTTATAGGTTTTGGTCATTATTCATCAAGTAACACTGAAAAGAAAACCATATAACAGAAGTTATCAAAAATTACTTATAAGCTGTTTAACCCACCATCAGGATTTAGTCTACCCATGTACAAAATTCAAACGACTAATAATCTTGTTGGTTGAAAACAAAGTTTTTCCAACGAAAAAATATCCAACTTTGAGATCATACAAATTGATTTTGTGATTTAAAAAAAAAATATTTACAGTGAAAATTTGCTAAATCAGAAAGGCAAATAATGAATGATTCTGCCTTCTAGCCATCTATTATGAAGAACTGATGAGTTATTTGTAAGAATATTTTTATTTTGATCCACCACCATACCCAGAGGATTCATCATTAAATATCCAATAATGCTTCGGAGCACACACACAAAGATATATTTCATGGAAAAGTGACATGTTCCTCCAGGTGTTTCATCAGTACCCGCTATTACATATTCTTCTAATGCAATCAGAATCAAGTTTATTGCCAAGTAGGTTTACACTTACAAGGCTTGGTGTTGAGGGTCCAGACAATAGAGATATGTATACAGAATACAGAATCTATAGCTATATACAACATAAAACATACAAATACTATACACAATATATAGTATATAGCTAGCAGTATATAGTATTACTAGATCCATTACTGTTTTCATCTTCTGCCTCATCAACGACACATTCTCTGTCTGTGGTTGTGAAGTCTATTTTGACTGTTTGCTTCTCTCCACTAATCAGGTTGGTTCCTGTAGCTGTTATCTCTGTTGAGCCAAACTTTATTTCCAGTTTGACTTTACACCCTCTAGTGATTTCTACAGTGAATGAACCAACTTCATCCACTCCCCAATCATCTACATACACTAGATCTTTTCGAAGTGAGCTGTAGAATCTCATTGTCATGTTTCTCTGATCTGCTTTAGCTGGAGAACAAAGGAACTCTCTGGTTTCCTCTGATCCAACATCCTCACCTTCTTCCACCATTTTACTAAAAATATCTCTACTGTATTCCACGCCTCCTGCTGTAAATTTCTTTTCTTCCTTGTGTTTCCTCTCATCAAACTTCTCACAAACAGCAAATCCATAAGTAAAGGAACTTTTACGAGAAATAACAACCTGTGGGTTTCTACCAAACTCTACAGCTCCCCTCACAATCGCTTCCTGGGCTCTGAAAGGACACAGAACCTTACACTGATGTCCAAACTGATCAATAATGTGCTGCTGCAGTATTTCGCTCTGAGCGTATCCCCCAACTAACAGAATGTAATCAATGTTTAGACAATGTTTAAAGATATCCCTCAGATTCTGGGTGATGCCCTCCAGACTTTCTTCAAAGAAAGACTCCAGTTTGTCTTGAGAGATTTTGATGTATTCACCATCCCAGGAAGCACCAAGTTCTGGCTTTATGAAGTTTTCTGTTCCTGACTTTTCTTTAGCCAATGATCCAAGTATGAATGGGCAGCTGAGCTGAATATCTTTATCTGTTTGCTTGAGACAAGTAAAATCATAAATGATTCTCTGGGCTGAACTTGGAAAGTTTTGTTCAAATTCATCCCAAACTCCATCAGGGAGTATTTCTTTCAGGAATTGTTTAAATTTTCTGTCCACAGTTTGTCCTCCTAGATTGTTTCCAGTGGCCTTGTGCAGCTCTTTCAGGGCTCCTCCATCCTGCACTTCATGAACAGTCATATCAATAGTTCCTCCTTAAAGGGACAGATGGGATAATGATGGTTTATTTATTTAAACAGCCACATTTATTCACATTGATTTGTTTTAGTTCACAAAAGATTGCAAATAATTACCACTATTTTTCATAATGTTTTTATGTATAAAGATGTTAAAATGTTTAGTGATTGAATCTATAAGTCAATGAATCAGAACCACAGATATTACCTCCACAGTCCACAACAGTGTACCGAGTCCCTGGAGACTGATCCAGTGACTCTCTGCTCTGGTTCTTTGAGAAATCATCTGGTTGAAGCTTCTTACACCAGATAGAAGCAGCTTCTGGCTCCAGAGCAATAATCAGTTTCCCCTCATCTTGTTCTGTTACAATACCTGCCTACAAAGAAAACAACTCTTATCGCTTTGAACATCATCAACCATTGCTGTGGTAAATCTGGTTTTACCTGTTTTGCAGCTTCTCTCATGAACTGTTTGGCTGAAGGATCCCAGATAGCAGGAACAGTCAGGACCCAGATGAAGTCAGAGATAATGAACTTCCTCCCCCCTGTGTTGGCAATGATGGTAGCCAGAGCATCATCCTTCAGGAATCTCAGGGACTCTGAGAAAACCTTTAGTGCCTTCATAGATTTCCCGCTGGCATCTTTAATCTTCAGATTACTGCTGAGTTTCTAGAAATGTTTATGTAGATCTTAGATACAACTGTGCAAATGTTTGAACAGTGATTTTACTCCTAATGTATTTTAAATTATTTTAACCAGCACGTTTAGAGATAAATAGCCTTTTAATCACAACTTTTTACATTTTCTGTTGATGTTCTCAAGTTAATATTATAAAACAAATTATTGATTTCCATCTCACCAACTTTTTTTTCTCTTCATGTGTTCAGATGTTTTATCACAGAATCTATATTAAATTAACTCTTAACTAAAGATAAACATTAGGTAACTCCAATGTAATGTGTAGATATCATTGTACTTTAATTATGCGTTTAAATTTCTATATACATACTTTGCCAAAGAAGACCCTCTATTTTACAGTAAATTAGCTAAGCAATAGGCAATGCTAAGCAGGTGAATATTTACCTAAAGATCAACTTAAATTGAAGCGTTTATGAGTGTAAACATTACTGCACACAACTCGCCAGCAATGTACTGCACTTACTTTGCTGTAGAGGTCCATCTTAAAGTCTTCAAACAAATAATGTCTCTTTGCTTCTGCTCCCCTCATTTCCTTGTATTTCATTTGGGCTTCATAGCCAAAACTAAGAAATTTTTTATCTTCTTTAAATAAAATGCAGGTTGGAGTCTTTGGGGTGTCAAATCCATACTCTTTTCCCCATTTTTTCAAGTAAGGCTCACTTTCTTCCTCTCTAGCACTGATATTAAAGGAATATCCACTAAATGTTGTCCCAAAATCTATTGCTATGATAAATCCGTCACCCATTGCAGAAGGAAACTCCTGTTAATCAAGGAACGGAGAAATGTCACTGTGGCATGAAGCAGTAGTCAGACAACATTTATTCTCTCAGTAAACCACGCCTCCTGCCTGTACTCTGCTTCATCATCATTTTTAGACCAAAATAAGATCAGTGTACACCCATATTTTTTTCTTCTGTGTAATTTAATGGTTTCAATGCATATCCATTTTTTTAAGATACAGTTGTGCTTGAAAGTTTGCGCACCCTCCCATTAAAGAAAATAATAAATTCACACTAGTAATTCAAATAACACAAAACTGAAAAAGTAATAACAAATAAAAAAATATTAATAAGTAATCTTTATAGCACAACTAAATCTTAAACAAATACAATTTATAGCAAATATAAATTAAAACATTACAGTAATAACTGATGTAAATTCTTGTAGTCTACTTGATACAGTCAATATTTCTAGGCTTCTAAGGAACAACTTCAAATGAGCCATATTTAAACCCCACTGTATACAGGTGCTGGTCATAAAATTAGAATATCATGAAAAAGTAGATTGATTTCAGTAATTCCATTTAAAAAGTGAAACTTGTATATTATATTCATACATTACATACAAACTCATATATTTCAGATGTTTATTTTGTTTAATTTTGATGATTACAAATGACAACAAATGAAAATCTCAAATTCATCATATCAGAAAATTAGAATATTACTGAAGACCAATAAAAACAAAGGATTTATAGAAATGTTGGCCAACTGAAAAGTATGAACATGAAAAGTATGAGCATGTACAGCACTCAGTATTTAGGTGGGGCCTCCTTTGGCCTGTATTACTGCAGCAATGCGGCGTGGCATGGAGTCGATCAGTCTGTGGCACTGCTCAGGTGTTATGATAGCCCAGGTTGCTCTAATAGTGGCTTTTAGCTCTTCTGAATTGTTGGGTCTGGTGTATTGCATCTTCTTCTTCACAATACCCCATAGATTTTCTATGGGGTTAAGGTCAGGAGAGTTTGCTGGCCAATTAAGAACAGGGATACCATGGTCCTTCAACCAGGTACTGGTAGCTTTGGCACTGTGTGCAGGTGCCAAGTCCTGTTGGAAAATGAAATCTGCATCTCCAAAAAGTTGGTCAGCTGCAGGAAGCATGAAGTGCTCTAAAACTTCCTGGTATGTGGCTGCGTTGACCCTGGACCTCAGAAAACACAATGGACCAACACCAGCAGATGACATGGCACCCCAAACCATCACTGACTGTGGAAACTTTACACTGGACTTCAAGCAACGTGGATGAAGTGCCTCTCTTCTTTTCCTCCAGACTCTGGGACCTTGATTTCCAAAGGAAATGCAAAATTTACTTTGGACCACTCACCAGCAGTCCAGTCCTGTTTCTCTTTAGCCCAGGCAAGACGCTTCTGACGCTGTCTGTGGTTCAAGAGTGGCTTGACACAAGGAATGCGACAGCAGAAACCCATGTCTTTCATACGTCTGTGTGTGGTGGTTCTTGAAGCACTCACTCCAGCTGCAGTCCACTCTTTGTGAATCTCCCCCACATTTTTGAATGGGTTTTGTTTCACAATCCTCTCCAGGGTGCGGTTATCTCTCTTGCTTGTACACTTTTTTCGACCACATCTTTTCCTTCCCTTCGCCTCTCTATTAATGTGCTTGGACACTGAGCTCTGTGAACAGCCAGCCTCTTTAGCGATGACCTTTTGTGTCTTGCCCTCCTTGTGCAAGGTGTCGATGGTCGTCTTTTGGACAACTGTCAAGTCAGCAGTCTTCCCCATGATTGTGTAGCCTATAGAACTAGACTGAAAGACCATTTAAAGGCTTTTGCAGGTGGTTTGAGTTAATTAGCTGATTAGAGTGTGGCACCAGGGGCCATCAATTTTGAACCTTTTCACAATATTCTAATTTTCTGATATGATGAATTTGAGATTTTCATTTGTTGTCATTTGTAATCATCAAAATTAAACAAAATAAACATCTGAAATATATGAGTTTGTATGTAATGTATGAATATAATATACAAGTTTCACTTTTTAAATGGAATTACTGAAATCAATCTACTTTTTCATGATATTCTAATTTTATGACCAGCACCTGTATAAAAGGATGACCTACAAGCCATGTTTGATTTACAGCCTCATGTAATTATGTTATACACCAATGCACCATGTACTATTTTTAATTCAAAGATAGACATTGAGAACTAATAACATGAAATAATGTTTAACATACATTGAAATGTTATTGAAACTTAAAAAAAACCTAATGTGTTTTAGTAATAAAGACAGACTGTTGCATGAAATACTGACTTAACTTGTTTCGTAATAATTAGGATGTTTAAAATCGAAAATGAATACAACGACAACAGAGAATCAGGTTTTACAGGTGTGTCTAGTATGCTTTTATTCGTTTCTCTTTAAATCATTTTTCCTGCTTGTTACCTCTTACATATGTTGTGTTTTATTTCCAGGTAAACATGAGTCATTGTTTTTTATATGATTTTTTTCTGTGCCACTAGTTGTTAACCTCCTAATCTTCTCTAGAAGGCTAGAATTATCCAAACAATTAAATACTAATTTATGAACTGGACAATCAGCTATACAGTGGGATTGATGAATATTTTTAAGTAAATCAACCAAGTTAGTTTGAATATCCCAAGAATCTAAAATGACAGAAAAGTAAAAATCACATTCAAAAAAATAGTTATAAGTATGTTTTACATAAGTTTCAAACACAAGAATTATTAGAATGACATGTAAATCAAAAGTTTTTTGTCTACATCTGCAATTGTATTTCCACCAGACATGCTTACCAAATAGAAGGATAAAATGGGTAGAAAAGCCTAAACCACTATTCAACAAGAAAATTATAATTTTCACGCTTTGAACATTAACTTAAATTGGCATTTTGTTATAATCCAATGTGAATTCTGCTGTTTTCACAGCATAAAATTAAGAAGCATTATTCTTAAAGCCTTTGATTGAGCATGTACAGGGCAGTCCTGTTTTCGAATTTTCAAATTATCAGGAAGACTTCTTCAATTACTCATTCCTTTTCAGGAAACAGCTTTAGCAAGCTCTGAGTAAAAGACAGATACTCTGAAACCTAATTGCTCTGTGGACCTAAGGACCTAATATCGAGGTAAATTTTTGTCTATAATTCAATCAAAAAATATTTTTAATAACAAAAATAAAAGATCAACAAACCCTTTTCAATAAAAGAGTGTGATATGGCAGAGTTATAACTGAGACTCAAAATGATACATTTGAACAGTTTCTCTTCTAATAAAAATGTTTTTCTATTGATTGAAGTCAAAGGTTTTCAACAACCTTTTATTCTAGTAATGATTTTTATTTGGACAATATTATGAGTAGGGCATTTGTGTCTTAAATAGGCATTATGCAAGTTTATGCAAAAAAAAATATCTTTAAAATACCCTTTGTATTTGACCCTTTATGACTAAAACATTGCTTGATGATTAGACTGACACCTCACCCCAGGCTCACACCGACTCCTGTCTTACCGTTGCGGTGCGGTGGGTGCGGCGCCGCAGTGATTCCAAGTCATTAAAAAGACGTAAACCTCTCTCATAATATGCCAGAACACTAGGGTTTCAAAGTGGTCATGGCACGTTAATAAGTTGTCATGCTTAGTACCCGAGTGCAGGCCATTCTGTAGCATTTAATCCGTTCTTAAATTTACAGAAGTGTTTTCATTGAACTGCATAACCATCTCACTGTGTTGGAAGGAGAATCAGGATACCTTGGAAAGAATTACTAAGTGTGTAGCACAAATTGTCTGATGAAGTTGAGGTACTAGTGGTGTGTTTGTATCATAGTCCAGGGAGGAAATTTATACTCTGTTCTTAAAAATGATTTGAGTCTTATAAGTTGAGCATGGAAAGACAGAATGATGTGTTTCTTTTTTTATACACTGTCCTGTCTGGCAATGTGGCAATAGGAATAATTGTCTTGATGACAAAAAGGAGCCCAACAGATTTTGCTTTCACAAGTGGAGCAGTAGGGTAATCGCCATAGTGTTCCGCTTGATTTATACATATAATTAGCATTATTATATTTCATCCAGGGAGTATAACATATTATATGGACACTACAATGTAAGTAGAACAGGAAAGGAAAAACAGAAAAAGGAGAAAAGATTAAAAAAAGAGAAGATAAAAGGGGAGATAACAATAAAACATCTTCCGTCTGCTTCATCACGTAATGTAAAAAGAACAGCACAACCAACGGATATATAGTATAAGAGTTACAATAAAGAAGCACCTTGATACTGTCGCTGAAGTATAAGTAATATTATTTAATCTGAAATGTATACTGTGGTAGCTGAAGATCAGAATATGGGCTTTCTGCAGGAATTGAATCTCTAAGTGTCATACTCTGTGTTCTAGGTGCAGTTCTGTTTCTCTTTGTCTCCCTCCTCTGCAGGGCTAGACAGGCAGGTGCGTTCCATCAGAGTTAATTACCAGCCTTCTTAGGGAGCTGGAACCAGAAGGAGGGCTTCAGTGTGTTTACGCTTCAGTGTGGTACACACCTACTCCTTGTTAACCCTATTTTCTGTGAGACCTTAGCCTAACCTCTTCCTTGACCTGGAAATCCACGCCTGGGATCAGAATCTGAAAGACTCCTGGATACCTTCTCGTACCAGAGAATTCATCTGTCAGCCCTCCTGCCTGCGCTCGCCTGCCTCCAACAAACTCACACAGAGAGAGTGTGACGGGTTTCTCTGTTCTCTAGGAATTTCCGGCCTCAGTCGGGTTACCGGTGTTGGTGGTTTATTGTGCTCAAAAACTCAAAACGGAGCAAAAGAAACTATACATTTACAAGATCCTCTGGGCCTCAGCCTCCCTCCAGTTACCAGCAATGTAACACAGAAACAGAAAAAACAAAATTGCCGCTCTTCTTCCCACAGCCCTCAATAAATAGCTTAAGCCCCTCCCCTCAGGCTCTCTTATTTCTGATTTCCTCACATAAATCAGTTTTATCTA